CGCGGGGTTTAAGAATCCAACTCGACAAGTTAGGGAGCCCCAACTCGACAAGTTGACGGCCAAAGATGAAACCCTATTTTTAGGGTGTTACACCCTATAAAAAGGACTTAAACCCTCTTGGCTGACCTCCTTACCAGCCTCCTTGTCCAGAGACACCCTAGATTCGTATTCTATCTTGCATCTTAAGTGTTGTGAGCTTAAAAGAGTGGTTTTTGTGATTCTTGAAAGGAGCTTGAATGTGGGAAGCATCTAGCTTGAAGGAGAGGCTTTAGATCCATAAATTCTTCTTCAAAGGCAACATTTTTTAGGTATAAAGTTGCACGTCATCATCTATTCATCTTGATCTTCTTATTAGAAGTTTAAGCATGATTTAGGGGTTTTGGTTGAGTTGTCAAAAAGATATGGATTATAGGGGTTTTCAAGGTAGATCTAACCCCTTCATGACCTCTTGAAGCTTAAATTTGCAAACTTTATTGGTTCGTATGTCCCATACATGCAATATCTCCATCATGAAGTCATAAATGAGCGTTAGAGGGTATTTCTAGCATGCATGGACATAAAGTTGGAAACTTTACGTGTTTTGCCTACCTTGGGCATCAGATCCGTGTTTTGGAACATTGGAGTGAGAGTTTAACGGCTTAATGGGTCAAGACCCTCTTAAAAGGACCTAGGGTTTGAGTTTGAAGCTTTATGGATGGTCCTTGAGGGTAAGTTTGGAAACTTTACCCTTATAGACATCATTTTGAAAGCGATATAAGGTTTAGAATCTTTGGATTCAAAGGAAATGGCTTAATGCAGTAAGAAGTGGGTTTTCCGGCCAACTCAATGAGTTCATAAGTGAACTCGACGAGTTGGTGGGACTTTTTGCGATCCGGCCAGTCAACAATGGAACTCGACGAGTTTATATCTAAACTTGACGAGTTGAGTCAGCTCGGAATGTTGACCTTGACTTTGAATTTAACTAATGTTGACTCTTAGGGTTTGAAACATTGAGTTGAATGTAAGGATCTATTTATGTTTAGGGATTGAGTAGAGTAGATACTCAGAGCTAGGGACTATTCAGCTACTATCAGTATTTGAGGTGAGTCTTCTCACTACACTCATGGGTCGAAGGCACCAAGGCCGACCCATTAATTGATATGATATGTTTGTATTGAAAGGAAAATGATATGTTATTTAATTTATGTATGGGTTTATGTGAAAACCATGGGAGGAGCCCATGGCACATGTCAAGACCATGAGGGGAGCTCATGGCAAGATGATATAAGACCATGGTGTAACCCATGGCATTCAGTTGAAGACAATAGAGGGAGTCCATGGCAATTTGTATGTATATGTATGAGTATGACATTATGTGATTATATGATTTGTGTGATTGGGAAACTTACTAAGTTTGTGCTTACAATTTATATGTATGTTTCAAGTACTTCTATTGATAAGAGCAAGGCCCCGACTTGATGATGAGACATTCATTATCTAGTGTTTTCATATTTAGTTCTATGTACTTTAAACTTTTAAAATAACATGGATATGTATTGGGATTTTTATATTTACTATGGTTGATGTTATGAAAATAAAAGTTTAAAAATTTTATGAAAATTGGGTTATTACATTATTGCAAGTATGTTTTTTGTTTAAGATACTTATGAATTAAACTTCAAAATACATTAACAAAATACCATTACGATACTAAATTACAAACATCATTACCAAATTAAAAGAAAATATAAACATATTTCATTAAAAAAAAAGAACAAACTTTCGTTTTTATTTTCTAATGCTAACTATATGTCTGTAACAAAAAACATTATCTTGTACATCAAAACATACAAAAATCAATAATATATTTCTAAACTACATTTTCTTAGATTCTTATTTTAATTTTCTTAGAGATATCCTAATTGAGATGGAGAAACTTTATGCTCAAGTCCTTGACATCACCATGGTGAGCCTTTATTTTCTCTCACCACCATAACAACATGAATTGTGTTAACCAACATAAAAACAACAGTAGGCTAAAGAGGGTATACTACTGCAAGAAAAAGAGTTCCAAAATCAAGTTGGTTGTTAATAGTATTAGGTATGAATATTTACTTTCTAATCCTGAACTCCACTTCCCTGAATGTCTAGATGCGAGAAAATTTCCTGCAAATAATAAGAAGCCTTGGCCAAACCTTGTTGGCACACAAAACAACCAAAGTATCTACTTCTTTCTTTAAATGCACAAATTTAAACATAAAAACATTTAACAGCTTAAACAACTTTACTGAAACAAATTTACACCATCCATCAAGATATATGAATGTCAACTAAAAAAACATCATTTTAACAATTATTCATACCAAATTATAGGACATGGAAATAGATATGGTAAAAGGACTATCCACAAAGATCTATTGAGAAATAAATACATAAGCAAAATGAAAAAGTAAGCTACGAATTGATTAACAAATGGAAATAAAAGCACTGCTTTTGGAATAGATTACATTTAACGAAATTGCAATATATTCACAAGATTTATAAAAAATAATTGATTAGTGCCAATAAGAACCATAAATGGCTCAACATGACCTCAAGACAACAACTAAGTTAAATGTGTGTGAAAATAACCTGTGATCAGACACACAACACATAAACGTTACATCCTCATCATCAAACTTTTTGAAGTAAAAAACCAAATTATGAAGAGTAAATAAACCAAGTTATGCTTCAACTTGATAAATCAACACCTGGTACTAATTTTGGGAAAAAGTCAAATGAAACATACCAATTTTGTTGACCATGTTATGCATGTGGCATGATATGCTCTAAAGATCAACAAAAATAGGAAACCAAAGGCATTTGGTGATAAAGAATGTATCCAAGATTGCCATTTGTTTTTTCTTGTTCATCAATTGTTTCATCAATAATGAAGTCAGCCAGCCAGTTCAACCTCATCCTCTTCAAGATGATCCTCTTTTGCAATGTCCTCAATGTGTAGACCTAAGGATCATGAGCAAGTTACAGTTACCACACAAGAAATGTTCCAGGTAATGATTACTAAAATCTGTTCGGAAAATGACAAAAATACCCTTATCATCCCCAAATAAAAGATGTTTGAGTTTCTACTCTGCACTTCGTCTAACCTTTACACTCTCTTAAAGAAATGGCATGCATTATGAAGTGAAGACAGGAAACTCAAAACTTTTGTAGAAAGGCCGTGATGTTATCTTGAAGGAGGGAGAACATTTAGCTCGATAAGCATGCCAAACACCATTCCTTTATCATGGCATGGGAGAGAGAGAGAGAGAGAGAGAGAGAGAGAGAGAGAGAGAGAAAACAATTGTTAATGTTCGTCCAGACCCAAGAAAACAATCATACACACACCACTTTTCTGGATTTTCTCTTTCAAAGAAAATAGAAAATACATATACATCTAGAAGAAATTCTACTCTATTTATACTAGTAAACATGCTAAGAAAAAAAAAACTATCAACTAAGAACAAAAAATATAGGACTACTAAGTCCACGTTTTTGAAACCCTTTCAAACCAGTTCATTATTAAACTAAGGGGTCGTTTAATAGTTGCTAACTGAGTTAAAGCTGACCGGGTTAGAAGCTGACTGGGTTAGAAGTTCTGACTGAGTTGACTTCTGACTGAAATTTGTTGGTTGTTTTTGTATCTGACTAACTGTGCAAAATGACTATATTACCCTTAAACATCAATTTTTATTATAATTTCGTTATGATTTACCGTTTACGTTATAACATTATATTTTTTATAAAAACATTCAACAATAGATTATCCCCATTCAAAAAAGAACCCAAAGACCAATAAAATTAGTATAACTTTTTACATAATTTAGCTATTCAACAACAAAAACAATGAAGATTACACCACTGTGAAGCCAACTAGCCATCTGTGAGATCCAACACCAAGCCTAAGCTCTTCTCATTTCTTGAAAGTAGAAAGTCATACATAAGAACACTATAAATTCCAATTTCTAATACAATCTTCAAATGCATAAAGACAAACAATTGGAAGAACAACCAAAATATGATTGAATTAAATATTTATTGTGTTCTAAAATCTAAATTAAAAAAAAAAAAAAATTTGTTAAATGTGTACCCATGAGTGACAGTGGCAAGTGTTTGCTTGATGAAGATCATGATCGCTAATGTCAACAACAACCAGAAGATGCCTCTCGCTGTTAGAAAAATACAAGAAAAATGCAAGAGCATGAAGCAACTAAAACAAGTTCATGGCCAAAGCAATCACATGTGGCCTTGGAGAAAATAATTATGGTTTGACAGGTTACTAGCTTTCTCTTCACAACCTCATCTAATCTTCAAATGCATAAATGCAAAAACTTGAAATAACCAAAATATGATTGAATCAAACAGAGGAACCCATAATGTTTTGATATTTCTAAGCAAAATCAAATAGAACATACTATAAATTTCCAGTCAAAAACCAAAAAGAACCAGCATTATTTTGTTAACAAAAAACTAAAAGATTACAAAAAAAAAAAAAACGAAAGCATTAAGAAAGCTTGAATAAACGATTGGAAGCGGCTGATTCCGAAAGCAAATCAGATCATATTAGTTTTATGAAATGGTTACCTGAAGAAATAACAAAATTATAATATGATAAATTATCATCATGGACTGTACTCTTCAATCAAACAAGAAATAACATAATTCTTCAACATCACAACAAAAATACATACAGGTCGAAGGGTTGGAGGCGGGAGGAGCCAATACCACATCCACCATTCAATTCCAATGACAATAGATGAAATAAAAAATACGATAAAAAGATGAAATTTCACCAATCTTGTATGAATTGGAAGGAGGTCGGAGCTCCGGGAGGCTGCGCTATGCTGGAAGGGGACGGCGAAATGCACATCAAGATTATCCAACAGTTAATACACCCAACCCCAATTTATATTTGATTTTTTAGTATTGTTAAAAATTAAAAGAAACAAAAAAGGACAAATGCACATGTAGATCAAAATAAACCCAACAATACATTAATGATTAATGTCACAATAAACATAACTAGATTGATGTTCTCAGCTGCAACAATACATTAATGCTCTTATTACCAATTTCCAAAGAAGTTTATGTCGTTGGGGACAGTAATTTTGAACAAACATTAGATGGGTGCCATTCCTGCATGGTTATGGATGAAAGTTCATTAGTGAGGTAGATGTGTAACATGTTGTTTCCTTTAGAAAGACATCAAGTATATGTGAGTAAAGCTAGAGCATAAGATCAGTTTATATGATCAACTCTTTGATGAACATATTGACACTATCTTCTTTATTCATGAGAGAGGTGAAATCTCTCTCAAAGAAAAATCTATCACAAAATATATGAATGAGTCCCTACTCCCACATCTCTCCGCTATATACACAACTCCTTAACTGCACAACTAACCTCTGAACCCTGATCAACATTCTAACTAACTCTTTGTTGACTAAGTTTGACTAGCATTGACTTCTTTTTAACTATGACTTTCTAATTGACCTTTTCCCTCTTCTAGAGACTCGTCACTCTGTTGGGCAATTCATTGTATATTGAGAAGGAGAAAATTATGTATAAATAAAATAGATCCAGCTTAGTTTTGGTTAAAGTTTCAACATGGAAGTTTGGAAGATCCAGTTCTTTGGGACAACAAAACACCAAAAAGCATGTTCATTGCCATTAGAAAACATATAAATGAACTGGAAAGAAGGCTAATTAGAATTGCAAAGTTGTGGATATGATCAAAGTTCGGGTGAGCCAAAAGTGTAAGTTGGTTGAATGACAAAACTTAACAATTACTGCCTGCTGGAAATTTATTTATTTATGTGAAAACATATTCGAAATATGTTTGTGACCATTGATTTCTGTAGTTTTCTACTATGTGATGAAAAAAGGGGTTTTGGGATAAAATTACCTTAAGGGCCATCCTCCACTACTCCAGACTTCCTTTGAGACAAAGCTTTGAAGTAGACTCGCTTATCTAATGAAAAGAAATAGATTAAAGATTTGACAATTGCAAAAAATAAAACATGAATTATTTATCACTGCAACACTATCATTTAATTATTATCAGCTTTAGATAAAACATAATACATAAGAATGAGTTCTACCTTTAATTAAGCGGGCTCCCTCTTCACTAAGATTGCCAGAATTTAGTAGATACGTATCAACGTAAGGCCGCAGAATTCGACTTTTCTTTAGGATGTATTCTCCTGTTGTTGACTGAAATCCAGTGAGATCTCCACCAATGATGTGATTCCATGACTTGTAATAACCCAACACATCTTCTTCTTCTTCTCCATCATCATACACAAAACTCACCCCACACTCCTTTGTAACTGCATCACCATCTGGAACCTTCCTTTGGGTAATAGTAATAGTAACGTGGTCACTACATTCCATTTCATTCGACCCAAACATCCAATGGCTTAACAACGTCAAACACTTTCCACCGAGATAGACTACGTCAAGGTAATGTTGGTATATCCAGGTGAGATTTTTTGTTATATTACTAATTTTGATCAAGGGTAGATAAAAGGACTCAGAGACAAATAGAGGCATCTGCACAAAGCAGAAATTCAATCCAGTGAGCTTGTTAGGGGATGATGGTATGGTAAATGATATTGATGGCCCCGTTCTTCTATCCGTAATCCAGTTCGGCATCTCTTGGCCTCCATAAATTGTGCTGAATATTCCAAATTCATAATACATCTGCCAAATACAACCACAGTAATTAATCACCATAAGTTATATATACATGTATATTCACACAATGACATATATTTAACCAGATTTATACCTGGATTTCACATTCCTCTCTTCCTCTGTAGCCTGTACATGTTACCAGGCACCTATCGTTATGAGAGTCTAGCTTAGTCCAGCCCAAACTACATAATACCTTTTCCTCGACACTTTCCATTGGTTGGGTTTTAACCATGCCTTCAATTTCAAATGAAGAAGGTGCTAACATCTTCCAGTCCATAAAGAAATCGAGTGGAGACATTTGTGGGTGAAATATAACTTTTCGTAGCGAAGGCCTTTTAGAATCAAAATATAGTTTCATAAAAGTTGGTGTGTGTGGAGGATGTTCGACTGATGTCAGCATATTACACTTTACCATACTAAGTGTCTCAAACCTAGGAAGGCTTCTCACACAATTGGGCAAGGAAACTATAGGATTTTCATCTAAATATAATTCCTTTAACATGGACAGGTAATTGAAGTCCATCGGAAAGGATTCTGTGGACAAACTATTATCCTTAAGTGATAAGCTTACTAAAGATCTTGGTAAAGAAACTGTAAAGAACCTCAAATCACTTGGTATAACCTCGAGAATAGCAGAGGAATCCATTTTAGTGTTTACACCGGTGCTGTTAGCCTTGAACTTTTCTGTTGAATCCATATCCCTAATCTTGATTTATGATTCACTGAGATAACAACCATTTAGAAATAGTCTTTTAACTCTCTTTAACATGCCTATGATTCTTGGAAGTTTTTCAAGCTTGTTGCAATAGCTCAGATCAACAAGGATAAGTTCAAGACATTGCTCATCTGATACACAAATCTCAAGCAAACCAATGCAACCTTTAAGTATTAACCTCTCAAGTGAAGGGAGGTGGTCAAAGCCACTAAGACTATGAAGCTGTTCACAGAAACTCAAATTAAGAATTTTCAACGATCCAAGCAACCTTTTGTCTTCTGAGCATGATCCAATCAATTGCTGAAATTGAGATAAGTTAGACCCAATCAATTGCTGAAACTGAGATAAGTTAAAACAATAGTGAATTTATCAACCAGACATAGAAGAATAACAAATGGTGATAGATAGATTACCTTTAGCCTCTTATGAAGTCGTTGTGGATAGCTATAATGAATCCCAAATGATTCAATCTTGCTATACGGCATGTCAAGAGAAACCAAATTCTCCATCGGTAATTCTGAAGGTATAGATTTCAAAGGGAACCCATGCATACACAACCATCTTAATTCCTCAGGAAAATTCTTGTAAGAGCCGGTCATTTGTACATAGTTGAGTTGTAGCAGCATTAGCCTATACATGTTACCAAATACATTTGTTTTCAACTCGACTGATCCATGCAACTTCTCTTTCTTAAGCATTCTCATGTCAATAGTGAGACCAAGAACATTTTCCGTACCCTAAGAAAAAGTGGATGCAAAAATACTTAAAAATATTACAGACATGTATATAGAAATGCAACATGCATGCTTTAAACAAGTGTACATGGCTCTTACATTTTTTTGTTTCAACACTCTAAATGACTCATGACCCCATAATCGACTTCGTTGCCATGGTTTGTAAAGTGATTCTTTACGTACTACAAATCTTCCCATCTCTTGAACAAGCTGATGCATCATCAACTCGTTATTTTGTCCAATCCTAAGAAGGCATCTGTCAATGAGATTCGTGATCCTGGTTTTTGTTTCAATATTGCATGCCTCTAATATTGTTATAGAAACATTTCTATCCATTCTAACAAAAATACAAGCAATATGTTTAAACAACTCGTTATCATTTTCTGATGGCAAAGAGTCAAAGCTCATTTTCAACACATTATTTATAGGGGAATCATTTTCTTTCTTCAACCTGTCTATGTACCCCACCCAATAATTTACATCTCGATTATATAGAGACCTGCCCAACACCTTAAGAGCCATTGGATGCTCTTCACAATAACTCACAAGCTTTTCAGACACTTCTTCATAACGTTCCTTAGGATTGTTGCTCATGAATGCATGAAAACACAGAATTTTTTGTGATTCAGTAGTAGATAAGCCTTCAAGCTTGTGCATTGTAAACTTAGGTTTAATGTTCGTTTTGAATAGTGAACAATTTTGTGTCAACCATGTGTCCTTTGTTGTTATTATTATTTTGCTTCCCGGATGAAAACCTTTTCTTCCAAGTAACGCATCTAATTGGTCGAGACTACCAATATCATCAAGAACCATAAATATTTTTTTACGGGCTGCTGCATTCTCAATCATTGAGGTGTATATTGAAACGTCATGAACTTGAATTGAATTTGGTTTTGACATCGTAGAGTTGTTTTTGTACATCAATAATCCCATTATATCTTTCGTCACATCTCCTACTAATATCTTCAATGAAGCTACTTGTGTCAAATTCATGAGAATGTAACACATAGGCAGTTTTCGCTAAAGACGTCTTGCCGATCCCACCCATACCCAAAATAGTGAGTACTTTTGCAGTATGTGTGGATGCATCTTTCAACCATGAAGTGATGAATTTAATGGAATTGCCCATCCTAATAAGTTGTGGCAGTGGAAACCTTGATGATAAGCGTAATTTACGGAAGATATCCTTAAGAATTTCATCAATAAACTCCACCTCTGGCCTGAAATTTAATTTAATAAGAAGTAAGAACCACAAAATCAAATCCAAAAAACTAATATTTCTCATATCATAAATATTATGGTATTTTCACTTCTAATCATATAAGCGTCTAATGTGCAAGGTCATAATTATTACATATAATACGACCAGAGCCACAAAGGTAATGTATGACTTCATTAAGGGTCAACCACATTTCTTTCTTTTTCTACAAAGCAATCAAACTTCAATATTGACGTGGTTTTGAATGAATCGTAACAAAATGGTAGTGAATAATTATAAGTTAAACTATAGTACTTATAATATCATAATAAAATACAATATGACCTGAATGTAGAATGATATAAAGAATAGTCGATGCATTACAACCAATCAAAATATGGCTATATATAGATATAATTAAATTATTCAAAGCATATAAAATCATGAAAATGGTTTATAAAAATGAACTTATTTACAATAAAATAAAAGAATGCATGACAAATGTTTTAAAATTAGCGGGATGCTTAAACCTACCTGCATGAATTAACTTATGAGATTACATAATTGCAAAAGTATAATCAATTTCAAGCATATTTTATCCGACTTTAAATGCATAAAAAATATGCCTATTTGATGATTATGAAGAAATGTATCGAAATTCATAAGGAGAAGATGATATGACAATTTATGTGTTGATTAAACAACATTAAAAAAAATATGGAAATATGGCTAAGAAAGTAGTTACCTGCCTTTTACGTTCTTCCCTTTTAATCCAGCAACTTCGGTAAGGGCTTTATTCCACCTGTCCATCTTTTGAGCCCAATTACTTCTTTTACTTGCATTTGTTTCTGCCTCCATTATCTGTCTATGCTTAGCCATTGCATCTCCGAAGGTATTTTGTTGCTTCCTGACTTCGGTTGGCTCAACATGATAAGACACCATGTGGAAGCAGCATATGTCTTAGACAACACGATAACAGAAGCCCTAGATGCTTTAATTGCACTCTCCAATTCTGGTTTCAGATCTTCCCCTATTTCAATCTCTTCATCATCCAAGAAGGCGGTGATATTGGCATGAATGAGGGCATGATAAAGGTGATTAGTGAAACTATGACGAGTGTCAAGACCTGTGAAACTTAAAAATACATCATATCCATGACCATGAGCTGATGAAGAAGATGAAGATCCTTTAGACATTTCATGGAGAACAACCATTATGAGTTATGGGTTTAGGACTCTTCACCTTTCCCACGATTTTGTGTATTTCTATTTCTCGTTTCTCCTAATGATTTGGTGTATCCATGTAAGCTCTGAAAACTCTTCCACACATCATCAGTTAGAATTGGTCGCTTAGAAAGCAAGTATTGTGTTCCGAAAAATCTATATTATTAATGCCTTATGCAACTAAAGACTCATCAGAAAAATAACTTCAATGATAACTGCTTATAATTAAAATTAAAAAACAAATACATATGCACCTTCAAACATTTAATGTGAATTTAATATGCTTCAGAAATAATCAACATTTATACAATTATGTATTTATACTGAATCCCATATATAACATTCAGATGCGAATTGTTTACTAATTGGTTGACCTGTTTTCCGGTTATATTTAGTGCTACAAAATATCGAACCGGTCTGTTAAATCAACATAAAAAAACCTTTATCTTTATCCGATAACACACCATATACTTCCATAACATTGTCCAAACAAATCCAAATTAAAGTTCAGTTTATAAATCAATAGCAAATACCACTTTAGAAACAGAGAAAAAGTCATTTACATAATAGAAATTCCAATCGCCTGATAATTGAAAAACAAATTATTATGATGTGATTTATAATTAGTAAGAGGAAATTGTCTAACAACGTGACAAAGTAGCTTGTGAGAGTGTCCTTTCATAGTTACCTGGAGGACACAAGATCGCTAAAGCAGCGAGAATAGTGGACGAAGCAATGGCAGACAGAAGGAACAGCGAACGGTGGTAAGTCTTCAGATGTCGGGTCAACGGAGAAGGGAGACGACGACGGAGGAGAATGGTT